TACTGATATATCTAGATTTAATAATTTTATAGACGGTCTAAACTTCCTACTTCTTTGATACAATTTTCTCATAATTTTCTTGGCAATTTTCGGAAGTTTCCACATTACTACAGATATTGCTAGTCTATGTCTTGTAAGTTAATCGTTGTGAAATCTGTGAAAATCTATTGAACTTGATTATATACTGTTTCATTGAATTCTGTTCAACTGAATCTGTTTCCCATATTACAAGATAATTGTCAGTTTGTTTTACGTTCGGTATCTTCACAAATTCATAGCGGTGGAGTTAAATGCTTTTCGTTGAAGATCATTGCAAACTACCTCACGATTTAAGTTCACCAATATTTATTGTCAGGGTACTTTGATATTTATAAGTCATCATCACTATTTAGAAAAATTAACCACACCCGTGCAACTTCAACGATTGTGACATTTAAGAGGATTCTTTCAAGCCCTGTGTCTTCACGCACACTTTGGCTGTATTCTGTCCAGTCATCAGTGCTTATGCCGGTATGTAAATAAATGTTGTGCAAACATGGATTAATTTCATATGTGGAAAGGCAATAAAGAATGGACACATATTTTCTACTGTCTCTTCTTATTTTATCTTTCTGTCGTTATATTTCTCCATACAGAATTCGGTTATTTTACGTCTTTCTCGCCCCAATTTTTCGATCATTGTCTATTGCTATCCAACCCATAAAACTGACTATTTCTTTGTCGATACTAACACTTCCACCCTCATTTTATATACGCTACGGTTCAAACGTTTGTGGGGCCCTCTGCTAATTTTGTTTTTTTAGATTGACCCACAAACTAGATTCAAATAAGAGAAAAGACATTATACATGCTTTAAAGAAAGTGAGATATATTTTTTATTATTTATTATTAATTTTATTACGGAAAAAGAAAAAAAATAATGATTAAATTTGGCTCTCGTCAAAATATCCTTCTTTAGCGTTCATTGCTGTAGCACAGTCTTTTAACATTCGTTGCAAATGAATGTTTTTCAAAGAATAAGTTTGATAATTGATTCCATTCTTTTTCATCTTTTAAATTCTTCTGTCAAGTTGATCCCATGCTAATTATGTGGGTTGCTTGAAACTTTCGAACTGTTGTATATATATATATATATATATATATATATATATATATATATATATATATACATGTGCGCGCGTGTGTGTGTGTGTAATATATATAATATATAGATAATAAATATATATATATGTTATCGATAAATTTATGAATATTCTATCCGACTGTAGCGTAGGATCAATTCCCTTATAGCTAAACCATATTTTCTCCAGTCAAGTTTGTCATGTGGTGTTGTCTCATCGTGTATCAGACGCAGGTTGTCAAAAATCAAGATAGGATTCTGTATTATAGTTGCACGCGCTCTTGTTAAGCATAAGTTAAGAAAATTATTTAAAGCTTGCGATTATATGGATCGATCTTGTGTTTATATCGGTCAGTTTTGATTGATATTAGAAACAAGTTTCCCTCCTCCGATTTTTCGCTCTTCTCGTTATATAGAAACAATTAAGTTGCAATTCGAAAAGCGTATCAAACTAAAACATCAAAAGTATTTTAGTTTCCTCGCCTCTAAAATATGTGATGTTGAAAATGTAGATTTGGATAAATACATTTAATTTCTCCAATGTTACACTTACGGAGTTAGAACGTCTTCTTCTTTCTGGTGGGTTGAATTTTTGTATGCCTCCTTCTAATGTAAACAACGAATAAATCTTTGCTGACTTTGGATCATTATTCTCGTGGTTAAATTTACATAAACGTTGTACAGATGACAGGCATTCCTTGTGTAAAACTAGATTAGCTGAATTATTTAATGAATATCCTTCGCTCTCCGCAGATCGTGATTTTCTTGCATGGCAGAATGTTCACTTCCAGACTGTTAAGTCTTTAAAGCCTATAAGTAATATTTATCTCACCAAGCCGGATAAAAGCTTCGGTGTAGAAATTTTAAATAATCAGGATTATATTATTAAAATGGAAGTCATTTTACTTGACCCCTCTATGTTTAGGAAGATTAAATCTGTATATGTATGTGATAACACCAACAAGATGGCGGATGAGAATAGAGAGACGTTTGCTTTCTCTTTATAAAGCTAATATGATTTCGAATCGTATCAGAACTGTTGGTTCATTACGTCCAATATTCTATGGTTTACACAACATACATATGAACAATATGCCTATTTGACCCTTTCTTTCTATGAATGGTTTGGTGCAAAACGAATTTGAAAAATGGTTGGCTGAAAATGCACTGTTCCGTTTCTGAATTTTCCTCCACCCTTGGTATTTCTGATTGTTTCAAATTTTCAAAAGTTTGTTCAAATGACAAACTCTTACTTTTATTTGACAGCGTTAGTCTGCATACAAACGTGTCTCTTCAAAACACTTTATAAAAATAACCTGACACTTTCTATAGATGTTGCTTGTGTCCTGCTATAATTCCATTTATTTTTCTTTTAGAATTTATGCATTTAGCAACTGAGAGGACCGAATTTCGTTCTGACAAATCGAGGGCGTTTTGATGGGTAGACTTTTGGCTCCAGTATTAGCCAACATTTTTGTTGTTTTTTATGGGCAACTTTTGTTAGTGAAATACCATAAATCCCACGTATATTTACGCGCGGTTGACTTTAAATTTAGGCATTTAAAAAACAAACGATGGTTTTGAGTCCTAGTCTATGGCCTATCTATTTATACTTCTGTGGCTAGGTAGGAAGAGTCAAGTACTTTCAGACAGTCTCCGCTCGCATTACATCAGATGTTTCTACTGTTAAGTTGCACGCGTTTGGGAGTTTGGAACTAATTCGCTATTTTCATCCTTTGTAAAAGATCATCTGTCCTACTTCCAAAATAGTTATGTTGTATACAAGAATAAATTTCAGTATGATGTTGAATATATAGGAAGGACTAACTTGAAGATGGAGATACGTATGAGTCAAAATGTTCCGACTAATATAAGATATGGTAATCTGAGTCTTTCCACTAGGATGAATTAATTTGAATATGATTCAACAATAGGCCAACATTTGCTTGACAATCTTGACTATGCCACTATATATGTAGATAGTTTCTTTACTGTTTTGCACAGAGCTCCGTCTGCTCGTTTCTTACCTGGGATTGAAACAGTATATATCAAACTACATCAACAAAATATGTTCAAGCAGAATGGAAACTTTTCCGTGATCCATTGCTGCTGTCTCGAATCTTTGGGTTCGTACTCTGGCATTCCAATTTTATGCAGAAGCTGCGCAATATATGTACAGTACACCAAGTCTTTCTGTTCAGAGAAAAAACAAAAACAAAGGTACTGTTGATGATTGTTGTGGTAGAAGTTATGCGAACACTGTCAGAGAAATGGTTTCATCCTTCAATCCGGATTCTAAGAGTTCGTCAGACGACATTGACAACCTGAAATCGCGAACTAGATCATTTAGTTCCTTTAGGGAAAAATGATGTGGAGCATCGTCATCAACTTCTTCTTCTTCTCCTTCTTCTTCTTCTTGAACACTGGAGAAATCTTCTTCATGAAATTCTTCAAAGTGAGGTATTAGAATTTCATTATAATGAACTTCAGGACAACGTGTTGATTGGGGATCAGGATTGTTGATGTTGGCCCGGTTATTTCTGCTGATCGCATTCACACCAATAGCTCAGAGGCAGAAGTCACTGATTTGGTTTGTTGGTTTTCTCCAAACCATGGGAATTCAAAATTTCAGACAACTCTTCTTGCCTTTGGTCAAAAGATACTCGGTGTATTTCTTACATGCCTTGTGTGGCTTTATCCTGGTCACCAATATATTGAATCATTTTTTGATAGTGTGTGGAAACGAATGATGTCTTGAATATCAGCAGTTAGAGTGGCATGGCTCTTAGTGGAATCTAAGAGACTCTGTTGGTGAGATCAAATATCCTTATTTTTATACTGTTATTCCTAAGAAATTGACTCCTGAATTTTACTTATTCCTAAAAGTCATGTCGTGTGCTTACTAATAAGTACGCTTGATATTTTAACGGTATACATGAATTATAATGAGTAATAAAACAACTTTCCTGATTCTATGTTTTTGTATTGTACAGTTTAATTGATTTGTTTTAAGATGTAAGCACTTTATTGCGTGTTATTGTTTTATAAATATTTTGTAGGCGTGTTTTAATGATTATGTCTCTATTTTGGCAGGGATTATGTTTAAAAGTAATAAGTTTGTAACTAATTTTATAATTAACATAATAATTAGTTTTATTGTGTGAAATATGTTGCATATTTAGTTATTTTAATGGGCATAGCAATGTAAACAAAAATGTAAAAAAAAAAAGCACGTGGGCATAGCATAAAAATTTGACCTGATTGGGTAAAACCAATTTGAGTTTTGGATTCAGCACATCTAAGTTGTCCTAAATCAGCTAAAAAGACAATAAATTTGGTGATGACCAGTGAATTCACCAATACATCTAAGACGTGTAACTATTATAGCAGTTCTCCCTAATAATCGAACAGTGCCATCATATCTAGCAAGCCCACTATTATCAAGGCAATATGACGAAATCTGTAATTAAGAGAAACAACTATAATGAGAACACAAACGTTAGGGACTTACTCCTGAATAATACGGGTCTTGGAAATATGTCTTTAATATCGCTGTTAAGAAATTCGCTCTAATATATTAACATTTTGATCTTCAAGTTAAAATACGAATTTTTCTCGTATTTAAATAACAAAACGCTGAATGTTATTTCATTCTCCTCCCTACATGATATAACGAACTTTGCCAACCTGGTATTTGCTCGGGAAACGCATATGTATTTGACCGCCAGTCCATTGCGATACGTGAGAGGCCATCGCTTGATATTTGATTCGATTTTGAAGATGGATCAGAGGAGTGCCATTTTGGAAGTCGGGGAAACGGTCGACTGATGTAGGAAGTCTGTTCCGACACTCAAGAGGATTAGAGTTCTATGTTAGGAAGATGGTTGCACGTGCTAAATCATATCCATTGCTTTCTCTTTTTCCTTATTGCGTCTTCAAACAGCAGGCATTTTTTTTAAGGCGGAACCACTTCTTCTTTTTCTTTGTTCCCTCCAACTACACTAACTCCCACTACTTCTCCATTTTTCTCCCTGTAGACTTCCATGTTTTCCAAGCTTTTCTAATAATAGTTTTTATCCTTTTAACTACTTTTATTTTATTTCTTGCTTTTTCTTCGCTCTTATTCCATTTTCTTTTCGTCGTTTTGAAAGTCTATTGAAATCATTTGTTTTTCTCGACGTTCTTTCTTTTTCTTCTTCTACAGGTTGCTTTTCTTGTGTTTCTCTTTCTTCTCCAGTTTATTGTTTTACGCTTTTTTTTCTTCTTTGTTATCTTATTCTTTTGCTCTTTATTTTTTTCTTGCTTTTCTTTTTTCATTATTGCTATCGTCTTCCTTTTCTTTTCTTCTTTTTTCTCATTCCTTTTCTTTTTTTTAATCTCACACGTTTCTCTCTATATTGTTATTCTTTTTTCTTGTTTTCATTCTTTTCCTTTTCCTTATCACCTTTCGTCCTCCTCATGATGATTTTTAATCCGTTCAATTTTTCCTTCACTATCATTCATTCTCCGTTGTTGTGTTCTTAACATTTTCCGCAATGTTTTTTCTTTATTTTTCAACTCATCATTCTTCCTCTATATTTTCCCATTCTTGTCATACAAGTCAGTCTTTTATTTCTAATATTATTCATTTTCCTCATTCTTCTCACTAATTTTCCTTCTTCTTTTCTTATTCGATTGTCTTCTCGTTCTTTGAATTCTCTCTTTTATCCTTTTCCTTTTTTGTTATTCTTTTCACCATTCAATTGCATCAAATATTTTCTTCTTTCCACTTCTTCATTTTCTTCTTGTGCTTCTCTTTCTTCTTCTAATGCCCTTATATTTATGAACTTCCATTCTTTGGTCATCTTTCTATTCTTCACTTTCTTTCCTTACATCTCTTCTTCTTCTTCTTCTTTTCTTCTTCTTGCAAGCTGAGGCATTTCAAAATAACTGATATTTTCTCCATTGCTTCCGGAAGCGATGAAAGCCGAGTGGCTACTGGGATTGCTTTTAGAGGGCAACTATAACCTCGTTGGGTTTTCTGTTTTTCTCAACATCGACGCCGCCAACGGATAGCTGCGATAACGCGGTCGATATTTCTGCTTGGCCTTTTCGGCATTTTTCCGACTTCTACGCCGAACACGAAGTCCACGAACGCCCGAAAATGACAACGCCACGCGTCTAGCGCAGTTATTTGCTCTCCGCAGGATTTTAATATTAGCTTCGCCGGTGCTACTCCCAGAAGTCAGTGAATGATCCTTGCTGGACTAAGATAAATCATTGCCAACTGACATGTGGATTTGATTGACTTATAGACCTATCGATCGATTGGGCTAAGTAACTTCATTTATTAGTATAAAAGATCAAAGACGAAGGGACCTATTATCATATAAAGAATATTTTACATTTTAGAAATACCATAATGTTATTTGTACGCATCGACAGAACTGACTGTAATTTTAACTGGATGCAAAGCTAACGTCTTCTACTAATTATTCATAATTCCAGAGAAATATGCCAAACAATCTCAAATTATGAAACTTGTTTGAAATTTCTTTTTATATATAAATCTGTCAATGATTAAGATTATTCCCATCTCTTTCTTTCCCTCACTGGACACTCTGTTGGCTTTTCTCATGTGATGTTGTGATTTATTTGATCAATGTTTGGGATTAATATCTTCATCGTTATGATTTTCGGTAGGTGTGCTTACAGTTTATTTTTGATGACTACGAAATAATAATAATAATAATAACAATAATAATAATAATAATAATAATCCACTTTCAACATTCCCTTCAAATTTGGATGAGCTGAGGAAAAAGCTGAAATAAATTCGCTAGCCTCTGTGAAATTTACTTTGGGATAATTAAAACGTTGCTTTCAAAGAGATTGGCCGGCGAGCCGAGAAGAAAAGGAAATAAATTCGCAAGCCTATGTGAAAATACTTTTGGCCCCATGAAAACCTTGTCTACACAGAAATTAACCCTTATTCAAGAAGAAAGAGAATAAAGTCGCAGGCCTATGCGAAATTCCTTCCGATATAAAATGATAGGAGAAATTGAATTAATAAGAGAAGCGTGTCTGAAGTCATGTAAAAGATTTCGTTTCTCTTCAGCTCCTTCAGCATTCAAGTTTTCCCAGTGTAAAACTACTCGCCAATTATATTATCGGCTTTTAACCAAGCACAAGAAACTTCAAAGAATTTTCTTACAACACGCTAAGAAAGCTAAGTATTTCAAACTTCGTCAACTTTTTAAAGTATGCAATTTTCTTTTCTTTCTGTGTACAACGAACTTTTTTTAATATTATTTTGTATCAGATCATTCATCTGTTGTATGAACATTTCCTTCTTCGTTAAAGCTACGGACTTTAAACATTTTGTACTTGTTTTCCAGACACGAACCCCTGACACAACTTCAAGCGTGTCAATTCAGAAACAATTTCCTGATTCTGTTTCATTAAAATTACCCATGTGTTTCCTCGTTATTACTATCCTTCATTATTCTTGACGTAACTAAATCAACTGCACATTTTCACCCTTAAGTCCCACGCTACTATAATTATTCTAGCCATTAATCACTGTTCTATTATTCAAATACTATGTATCAGTGTGTATTTCTATAGCCTTCACAAATTGCCAAATACTGCCGTACCGATTCAGCACATCTAAGTTGTCCTAAATCAGTTAAAAGACTTTAGAAAATAAATTTAGTGTTGACCAGTGAATTGTTCACCAATACATCCAAGACATGTAACTATTATAGCAGTTCTCCCTATTAATCGAACAGAACCATCATATCTAGCAAGCCCACTATTATCAAGGCAATATGACGAAATCTGTAATTAAGTGAAAAAAAACTTAATGAGAACGCAAACGTTATTTTAATAACGCTGTTAAGAAAGTCGTTATAATATATTAATATTTTGATCTTCAAGTTGAAATACGAATTTTGCTTTTATTTAAATAACAAAATGTTGAAAGTTTTTTTATTCTCCTCCCTACATAATATAACGAACTTTGCCAACCTGGTATTTGGTATTTCTATAGCCTTCACTAATTTCCAACTCCTGCCGTACCGATATAGCTGTCAAACCTCCGTCTTGTACCTAACGTTTACCCGATATTAATTGTATATTTGAAGTGATGGTGGGTGATACAGAAAACAGAAGATTAACCCACCATATGGATTCAGCCTCAATGAAAATTGCCGTAAATTTTCGTAACCGAAATAAAGTGAATTTCAATACTATTAAAATAATAATATGAATTCAGGGAATGGCTTTATTGAAGACAGTAACTGCTAAAAGAAAGGGCATATAAGTATAAATAATGCAAAACGATGCTTTAAAAATCTTTTTTTCTCTCTTTTGCCGCAACATTTTCAGCAATTATTACTTTGTTTATCGATGAGAATCCAGGGTTCGAAACTAAATGAATTATCTTATTCACATATTAAGGCTGCCTTTTAAACATAGTTTACTCAGTAAAGTCTTTTCAAATGCATTTCCCTTCTCTAAACTCACTCTTACAACTGCTTTTATATGTTCTGAATATGTAATAATTAAAGAATGCAATGACTACCCATTATTTATACCTGTTATTTGTTATTTTTTAAATACGAGGATTTAAGCAAATCATTTATATTCATATCAATATTTCTTTCAAAACTAAGAGTTTCATTTTATTTTTCATTCCTAAATTCAAATCATAATAGTTTTGTTACCCTTTGTACTGAAGCTTGTTGATGTAAATTATTAAAAAAACTACATAAAGCCGTGCGTTCACGAGTATGGACTACCGAGAATCAAAGTGAGTGGGTGGTGGTTTGGCAACGTTTGCTTTTGTGTTTGCAAGTAGGTGTCTGTGTACAGGAATATAGATCCAGAGGCGTTGCAGTTTTTGAAGACTCTTTTTAAAAATTCAGAAACCATTTTTTATCTTTCTGAAATATATTCATTATACCTTTTCAATGTTTCCATAAAATATTCATTGGTTACAAAAAATGCAGTATCATAAACAATGCATGCTATTTTTTCCCAAATGAAAAGAAAAGGAAATAAAACCTGTAACTCGGATTTACGCAACCCATCAAAATATGGGAAAATACTCCAGCCTCGAAAGCCATTGATATTAAAGTGTAATACCAATAAATATTAAATAATTTATTTCACAAAACGATTTGAAATGAGAATCTAAATTGAGAAGTAAATAATCGAATGAAAATTAATTTCCTAAAAGCAGCAAGTCAATAAAGCCACTAAGATGCAAGAGGTTACTGATTTTGAAAAAAATCTGAATAAAAGTACATTTAAGGATTATATAACGATAAACATTGTTAAGATTGTATAACAGTAAAAGAATTATGAGAGTAACGATAAATTTTATATAACAATGCACATTATTAATGACTGTATAACAATAAAAGAAGAGGAATTAAAAGACAGGGGATAACAAATGACATTACAATCTTAATTTTGAAAATAGAGTTGAGTGAAAAGCCAAAAAAGTGTCCAACGAGAGAGAAGGGTGAGAGAAGAAAGTGTGAGAGAAGAAAGTGCTTATAAACTTAGTTATATTTATTCATTTCACATGTAAAAAGATTAGATCTAACTGCCAGAATAGTACTGCATGTAAGTCGTAAAGACGAGGTACCGCTGAGGAAGGTTCATCATGAAAATTATCATGAATATATTTATAGAAATGACACAAAAAAAACTACGTTACGGCGATGGAAAGTGACTGAAACCGAGATCCTAAGTCAGTACCGATAACATTGCAGATTCCTCTTTGGGTTTTATTTGTTGTTAACATTCTTTTTTTCATTCAGTTTTTCCAGTTACGAGTCCCTTTTTAAAGCTGATCGTTTTGTGTTGATTTTATTTAGTTCTTTTTTCGTAACAGATTTAATGTTTAGTATAGAGCTTAGGAAAAATTTGCAGTGTGAGAAGTAAGGCATTTATCAACATCAGCACGGCAAAGGGCACTACTTTAAAGACAAGGAGTGGCAAAAATATTTTAAGTTAAGTGATAGTGATGCTGTATGAGTCGTACGATTTTTGAATCAAGCACGGGCAACGCCGGGCCATGCTGCTAGTGTAATATAATCAAACACTATAAGACAGCATGAAACATTCTATTCACATTTTAGTTCTCTATATTTTGCAACCAAGTTGTCGCGATTTTCCTCCTTTGTTGTCTTCGAGAATTATGCAGACATACATAGGACTGCTTCTGGATTGTTCTTCTAGATTTAATTGGAGGAATGTATTCCTGGAAATGAGGTAACCTCATCATTCCTAGTCAATATTAACCTCATTATTCCTGGGGTTGTCACTTTGTCATATATATTAGAATAATGAATAAATGATGCTCTCTTCGTTGGGAAAAATAATTAAATCATTAATTAACAATATCCGCTCATCTCCAATAAAATATCTATTTGCGATGTCCAACCTTTAAAAGTTACAAACAATGACAAAATATTAAATTCGCAAACAATTGATAGCTTTTTGGTATTTCCAACTTGGTCAGTTCTTGTTTCGCAGCATATGAAATCACTTTACGATGTGTAGAACCTTTAAACATTATTTAATATGTAAAGGTTGTTGACTTGGATGCCATGGTCTCGAAACAACTAGCAGAAATTCCTTAAAGTGTGCATCACGTAGTTCTTCTAGAATTGAAATCCCATGAAAATATGGATCTGTTCACGTGTTAAACTTGGGTTTCTTGACTAAGAATACCTAATGGTAGATAGCTCAATTAGGTAGCTTTCGTAAACCTCTTTGCCCCAAAGTTGATATTTATGTAAGATATCCTTATTTGTCTCGACCATTTAATTATTTATTGCTCTATCAATACCGCTTTATCAATAAACCAATTTGTTTTGTCCACTGATATCTGAATAACTCGGTTTGAATGTTTGTTTTTA